AATAGAATGGAGAGATTGCACCGCCGCTGCGGCGCGACTCCAGAGAGATTTTTAACTTTAAACCCCTTCTCTCTAGAGTCGCGCTGCCTTTCCATTGTATTCTATGGGGCCATAGAATATAATGCTCTAGGCAGAAGGAGCTTGGGGGCGGGGAGCTGGTGGCGGGGCTTGCCACCACTGCCATTTGTGCCTGCTCCTGGGCTCCCGGAGCAGAGCTCTGGCCCGCTCCGGCCCCAAACAACCCCTGGTCTTACCTATTTAAAGTACTACGCAAACAGGAAACAGGATGCTTGATGGACCACTTGCTCCCATACAAACATGCCCATTAGTTAAGATTGGCTGCAGGGGCCTTGCAATGCATGCTCCCACTTTCTGAGGCAACCTGACAGGGCCTTTCTGTGGAATGCTATCCCCACAGCAGTTCACCTGGCCTGAGATAAAATCTTATTTTTCAATTATTTTAAGTACATTTTAGAGCTACACTCCCATATTTACCTGCTGGTCTTATTGTTTATATATTTGCTTTCAGCTTTTGATACTGTTATCTTTATGTGAACCACCCCACTTTTTTGGAAGGCCGAGCACCGATGAATAGATTCTTTTGAACTATGGTGCTGGAGAAGACTCTTGAGAGTCCCTTGGACTGCAAGAAGATCAAATCAGTCAATCCTAAAAGAAATCAACCCTGACTGTTCTCTGGAAAGGCCAGATAATGAAACTGAAGCTCAAATACTTTGGCCACCAAATGAGAAGGGAGCACTCACTGGAGAAGACCCTGATGCTGGGAAAGATTGAAGGTCAAAGAAGACGGGGATGGCAAAGGATGAGATGGTTGGACAGTGTCATAGATGCAACGAACATGAAATTGAGCAAACTTCAGAGGACGGCGGAAAACAGGAGGGCCTGGCGAGATCTTTTCCTTGGTGTCATGAAGAGTCGGACTCGACTGTGCGACTGAACAACAAATGAGGGAAATTCTTCAATAAAACCTATTTAATTTACTCTTCAAATCTGGACTCTACTGTGCCTACTGTGCCGGACCTTGGTATACAATTGGTGTGCAGTCCCTGTACCACTCTAGTCTGCATAGCTAATTTCCCCAAACATCGAGTCAGACCATTGGTGGTAACACTATGCAAAACTATGCAGAGAGCCAACATGGTACAGTGGTTAAGAGCAGCAGACTCTAATTTGGAGAACAGGGTTTGATTCCCCACTCCTCCACATGAAGCCTGCTGGGTGGCCTTGGGCCAGTCACAGTTCTCTAAGAACTCTCAGCCTCACCTACCTCACAATGTGACTCTTGTGGGGAGAAAAAGGGAAGGCAATCGTAAGTTGCTTTGAGACTCCATAGGGTGCAAAAAAGCAGAGTATAAAAACCAACTCTTCTTCTAATAGCTGCATTAGTCAAGAGAGTTATGTAGGGAAGGAAAATTGAGTAAAATCACCCTTTGCCTCCTCCATTGGCCGTGTTCATAGTTCATTTATAACTGTGCTGATCCCTAGGCCTTAAAGGCAAGGAAAGGATGTGTCAGAGTAATTTGTGAACAATTTGTTCCAAGAATAAATTAGGGCTTCATTAGAATACCTGGACCAGTCAGTCAAATTTCCTAAGGCTGTCTGAAAAATAGTTAGATCCATAAGTCAGCAGAGACAGATAATTAATGGGTCCACCAACCCAGGAAAAATTAGTAGGAAGTTAGGAACCAGTCCAACCTTCTGCTTGGTATAGTTCTGCTTATCTGTAAGTGTAATTTCTTCATCCATCCATGAAGGTATTTGTGTTCAGTTGCACAGAATCATATGAAACTCAGATTAGTGAAAGATGACTGGTATCTTCAAGCACTGTTGTAAAACACCTTTAACTCTGTCTTGGCTAGGTGTCACTATTGGGTAGGTTTTGCACGCCCCTCCCCCCAATTTTCACATACTATGCATGCATATTAAGTTTGAGTTTTCTGGCCTTTCTACTATAGCAGGCAGCTAGAAATCTCCAACCCATTTTTGGACTTCCTCCCACCCCCATGCTGTTGAGTTTAATCTACTGCACTCCTGAAGCTAGGATTCTCAGTAAGTTCCACCATATACAACTGCATATTTGTGTTTTTGACCAAAAGTTATTTCTAAGAAATAAAAGATTCCACTTAACCAATGAGAGGGAGCTGGATTAAATACTGTTTTGGTGGCAGGTTGAAGAGACACAATGAGCATTTGAAACATTTTATTCAGGTCATCTTCACAAATTTTCATCCATGATACAAGAATCTAGCACAAGAATATGGAAATGCAATGAAGAATACAAAGCTAGTGTATGAATAATTATAAATAATTTTTCAGAGAAAGATGCATAAGTTTTAGAGATTTAAAAAAACAACCTGAAGTAAATATTGAAAATTCCTTCAAGAATATTAAGTGGCATTTCATTGAACCTGTAACATTTGTTGCTTATAGATTTCCTGACAGCAAGCTAGTTTATTTCAGTTCAAGTTAAAATATGTAAGCACCTTCAAATATCTGGAATGTGAAAAGAATGTATTTGTTATCTTGTAAAGCACAGGGTAGACCACTTCCAATGAAATGAGTATTCTTCAGGTTTCTTCTGTCCTAAACCATAAGAATATACAAAAAGCCTAACTGAAAAATGTTCATGTATCTGTTATTTATTAGAAATCCCGTACAATTTATCATGGTTCATGAAATGCTTGATGTAGTAAAGCTTTCTGTACTAAAAATTACAGAGCAGCCAAGAATATAGTTAAGAAAGCCTGTCACCCTAGCAAATTTTGATATATCACTGGTAACTTGTCATATGTCCCAAAATCCACAATAGAATCTCCAAATCACAATGAATCAGCATAAATTATTGTTAGACTAACTTTAGCTAACGCCAGAGTCCAACTGCAACATATGATTCCTGTTCACATCATAAGTATCAGCATAAATCCTGTCTTTGACAAATTAAAATACTATATTCCGGAATGAGACATTTGCATAGTGATCATGTGCAGACGTCACTCAAAACTATCAGGTAGGTCAGCCCTTGACCTGCCTTTATAAAGTCATCATTATTCCTGTGCCCATGTTGCTCTCAGTAGTCACTGGCTACCCGATACCAGCCACAGTTTTTTCCTGATGTACTGCTAAAGCATTTGTTTTAAAGGTGGCCTGCAACTAAACAAGCTAGATAGTATGTGGTTGCTTGTAGTTGTTCACATATGAAAGGCCACACAGTATATGTGAATGCACTCTATTATAAGAAAATATGGTGGTCAGGACTGGAGTCCAAAGACATTAAAGTGATGGGTGGAGAGCCCCGTCATTGGTAAACGGAAAGGAAGAAACATGTTTGTTAGACTGCTTGGAAAGTTTTAGCATATTGTGGTGCCTTTCATAAAGAAAAATATTTTATCTGAATTCTCAAAGCAAATTAGATAGCCTCAAGCATATTTAGTCACCCAACATTCAAGCTAAAAATGTGCATTGTTCTAAACCACTGAAGTGGTACAAAATACCTTGTAAGCTCCAAACTAAATATAACCACTTCTTATATATTGTACTATATGGAATGTAGTCAAAATCCAGCCCTTCTTAAAAGTCAGGCAGCTACCCAAACATAGTCAACAATGACTACTTTCAGGGCCTATTTGCAACCTAAGCCATGTGGGGTGAGGCTCCCTCTGTAAAAAAATAATTTCACAGTTTTAAAAATCCTCACTGTTAGGTTTTTACTTGCAGTGAGAATAAATCACCTGCCAGTAGCAACCATTGGGTTATTTGGGGGGTGCAATATTTAAATTCTAAACATTTCAAGACTGGCTCTTGAACCACCAATGCCTTCCATGTCAGTTATATTATAGACAGCCTACCTTCACTTCTTCTGAAATCTTAATTCAACATACAGTTTAAACTACACTGTCTGGCAGGTTCATGGGAAATCTACATTATCCTACTTCTTCATCCACTAAACCTATATGCTATATTTTCAAGGGGTTTTTAATGCTACCTTACTGCTGATTTTTTAAAGTGAACATACATCATTTTAAACAATGTCAGTGGTTCCCAGCCTTTTTGATATGGTGACCCACTTTTTAAAAAAGAGCATACAGAAATGAATAAAATGGCAAGAACTCAGGACCCACTCACAGGCTTCACAACCTACTTTGGGCTAACAAACCACAGGTTGAGAAACACTGACGTAGGTTACCTATTCCTGTGAAGTAGTTTCAGGACACCTGTTTAGAAAGCTTTCTGTTCACAGAGACCAAGTAAGAAAAAAATGTGCAAATACAACTACCTGCATTGGGAGGGCTGCTTAGTGTTCTAAACTATCTTTCAGAAGTAAGTGGTTCATGTCAAAAGTTCAGTATGCTTTTTGCTTACAAAAATGGTTCACTTGCTAATACATTTAAAATGTAAACATGTTTCATATGTAAAGGTTTAACTAGTGCACAGGCATTGCTCCATTAAATATTAAGAGTTCTTGAAAAGTGAACAATGCCTTTCTGTTTTTGGTAGAACGTATGAAGCTAGTTTTGCATTGATGGAAGCCTTCCTTCTGCTCTTTCAGTATTCTATCTGATCCAAAAAAATATGAAACTAGTTTCACAATCCCCAAGAAGCTTCAGTCAATAGCTGCTCAGTCCTCCTGTTGCTTGGTAAAATGGAGGGCATTATCAAACAAAATTTTGTGATACGGCATTGGTGCGGAGAAGAGGTGTCTTTTAAATCGAATTATATGATTTGCCTGAGCATATACAAACATGCTCTTGGTATCCCAGCCTACCTGAGCACCCTATAAATTGTAAGTTCATTCACAGATTTCCAGTAGTCTAAGCAAGGTATTTCTGTGAACAACTTTCCTATAGAATTTGAAAACATGTATAAAGCACCAGTTCACACTTTGCAAAAGCTGAATGCATGAACAAAGCAAAAATTCATTTTCAAGAAGGTCTTAATGCATTAAAGTTGCATTAAAATTCTCTGCATAATATCTGGTCATTTTTTCTTCAGTTTTCAAAAGTTTTTACATCCCATTTCAGTTTATGAAATAACTTCCTCTAGAAATCTTCAGCAATGGTGTATACATTTTCTTTCATCTTAGTATCTAGTAAAGAGAAAATAAACAATAAGTGCGGCAGATACTGGATCCAAAGTTCTAAATAAGTAAATGATTAATTAGTTCTAAAATTTCATCAGTATGGTTAGCAAGAGATGTTTCTTCTGCTAAAAATGTTGAGTAACCTCCACCCCCACCAGACATTTCATCTGTGACAAAACCCTAGCCATATGCTGGGACAAAAGACTACCAAGGTCTGTTGCTACTGTCCACCATACAGATACTGCTGTGCTTGGGAAGAATAGCTTCAAATATCCACTAGCAAGAGATTCAAGCCCTTTGCATCTTCTTGCCTTGGCTTTCATTCAAGTTTTAGAAATTACTCCTGGCAACTGCAGCAAAAAGAGTACAACGGCCAGATTGATTGTGGTTAGGGCAACTCTGAACTGAAGGCATGGCTCAACCTATTAAAATACAGCCCCTGATTCCTGATTCCACTGCAATAAATAACATGTTTCATTGTAACTTCCATTCAGGTTATGATCCAACACAAGGACTTTGCTAGGTCTGTGCAATCTACCCAGCTTTCTTCTCCCCTCATCAGCCATTTCCAAATTTCAACCACTATAAAGTTTATTCCTGGGGTCATGTGGAATAATAAATAGCCATGCCACTTGGTGCTCTGCACTGCAGAGGAAGAAGATGACAAAATCGCTTCTGTTTTCCTCTTCTGTCTGCGTCCACAAAAATTCAAAAAGTAACAATTCAACTTTGGTACAGGAGCAAGAAGAAAATAGTTCTGTGAGCTAGTTTTCATGAACTGCTTTACAAATTACTTTGTATCAGTCGCTGTATGTATAACAGGAATGCTGTTGAACACTTCTTCCTAAGCTGTTGTTCACAACAGTAGTTTACCTTTTCCATTTATCCAGTCCCAAATCCTGTCATGTACACACTCACGTACAAACAAAAATTAAAATCAGCACACAAACACAGGTACAATACATATTATGAACGGTAGACAATTCATTTGTATTTCTGCTTCTATGTACAACTGAGGACACACATAGTGAAAGATAGACTGCACTGATTTTAAACACACACGTTCTATGTCTTGCGTAAAAATAAAAAGATAATTAGCTGGATTGGCCATTATAGCCACCAGAAAGTGTCTTGGCGGGCAGGTGCCCAATTCTTCTGAGGCTCCTGCCCAGCAAAGAGGACAGCCAAACACAAGCCAGCACTACTGGGCAACCGCACTGCCCAACTCCACCCAAACCTTGTGGGGGTGAGGAGACCAGCCTGGCTGAGCACAAGCAGTTGCTGCTGGGTGGAGGGAAGCTGCAGCATCACTGCTGGATTGGTGGGGCAGACATGGAGGCAGCTGCTGCCATGCAGGCAGAGGGCAATGATAGCACCCATCTTCTCCCAGCTAGCCTGAATCTGTTGAGATCAGTAAGGACAGATGCGTTGCCCATGTTTGGCTGCTGAGAAGTGTGGTAGTGCCTCCTTTGCTCCAACTGGCTCTTTCTTCCTCTCATCCAAGGATCCTTGCAGGAGAAAATGCACGGCCCTGGTGACCTCCCAATCCTCCCTTGAAGACAGTGTCTTAGTGATTCTCTTGATAGCTTTATGAGGAACAGTTTCTGGAGAGTTTGTAAATGCAAACTATAAGAAAGATTAGAGCCAGGAATAACAGCTAAATCTCACTGAGTCTAGGCCGCAGTAGGAATGCACAAATCCCTTTTTTCAGTCCTCAAAACAAGATTTCAAAACCAAAACTATTTCAGAAAGAATCTGTGTTGTCTTCTATTGTGATAGAAAATGAACATTCACATTCACATTATTTTAGGTTAATTCCAGGCCATACCATTGTATTGATTTGATAAAAAGTCAACAAGTCTTCATTTAATTAGAAGTAGTTCTGATCTGAAAGCACAGCAACTCTGAAGCTAAGGGAAATAGCAAAGGTATCAAGGAAACACACACTATTGCACTCCCTAAGCCTGACGTTACAGCACACTCTACTTCCTAAATACCATAAAATGCTGCAATTTACTGTAAAATATTTGAAGGAAAAGAGCAAAAACTTACGGTGAAATTGTGCAGCCAGAGGCATATGCATGGTGGCCAGTATAACGGATATCACAACGTACGATATTGTTGGAGTAGTCCGATTCTGGTACCAAATAGCTAGGGTTTACACTAACCTGGAAAAAAAGTACACTTTGTACTTCAAATTTATATATATCATTGTACAAAATATAGTTTAATAAAATTGGATACCTTCAATATGTAATTTCCAGGCTTTACATCTGTAATATCAATCCATTGGCAGTCTATGTCAGCATTGTAAGTGTCGTAACAACCAGGACTCAATCCCTAGAATTGGACAGATATAAGAGAGACTACTTTATTATTTTTTTCACTCAACAACCGTTAGCACATCTGAAGAAACAAATGTAATAACTTGATTTACAAAGTTAGTTTCTTCTTAAAATATGGTTTTACAGTATGATGGAGTAATCTTAATGTAAAATTTTGATGAACAAAATAGTAAATCAAGCCTTACCTTTCCAATATCAATGCTGATATTTTTTCCTGACAAATATAGTAAAAGCTGTGTTATCTAGCACTTGATTATCCAAAATGCTCATTTAACCAGCATAGCCCAGAAGGCAAGCTCCTCCCTCTCAGCCACCACACTGTTGCATCTTTGGGCACACAGATGCCCCACCCATCTCTCCAGCCAGCCAGGGTGATGCCACAGGCTATTGCTGGGCTTCTCTGAGCTGCACTGCCAGCTAATGCCATCCTTGGGTGCTTCCTTCTTCAGTCTGCTTCAAACTGGCAGAAGCCAGCTCCGCCAGCAAGCTCCCAGACAGCTGGCTTGCTTTTCTGTCCGTTGTGTAAGAGGACTCCATGGCTCAGGGAAGGCTCAAACCAGATGTGGGCGCTGTCACCATGACATACCAATTGGGGTGGGGTTTGGTCACTGGATTTCTCCAGGTAGGGCAAAGCAGGAAGCATAAGTCTCTGTACATCTGGTGACCCCCCCCCCAATCCCTATGACTGGTAGATAATGAAGCTTTTATTGTATTCAGAAGTGGTGGTATTTTATAATGAAACCTATTTCCACTGTTCATTTTTTTGAGGATAGATGATCTCTTCCTCCAATATGAATGTCATTATCATTATAGAAATGTTTTGCTTTATGAACAATCCAAGGATTGTTCCTTTCCCCATTCATCACTCTGTCAAAACAAGGCAACCATTCCTGTTGGCTAAACTGGAGTGATTTAGAAAACAGAGAAGTTACATCTGACTCATTCTGTTTCCCCATTGGTATATTCGTAGATTAAAACAAGCTTCTATACTAACTTCATGAAACCAACTATTGTCTTGAATGATAGCTCCATTTAAGCCATGCACACTCAGGCCTTTAAATTCTATGTAATAAGTGAGGTCCAGGTTTCTTTCTCCTCTCTGAAATCATTCCAAGTGGAGTCTGACTGCCCTTATGAAAAGTACAATGTTTGGCCACAGATTCTGTGTCACTTGGCAGGAGTTAAGTACTTGCTGTGGAGAGGAAGGTCATGGGTATATTGAGAACTGGCAACTACATACATTTTTTTTGGTCTGGAATATGGATGTAGTCTTTGGTTGCTCAGAAAAATATCTCATGCAAGCACAGGTTTCAAAGCAACGTATGTAACCACAGGAATTCTAATGGAATTCGGAGCAGCATTAGACACTTTATAATGCCCAATGGCTAAGCTGTTTATAAAAGGAATGGTTACAACGTATCTCAAGTAATTTTTATATATTTTTTCTATATATTTTTCTATATTTCTCATAAATTATTCACCATTATATTATCATATAAACATTAAAACATAGAAAGCATCATATATCCAAACATCTAAGTATCGTCTTTTTATATATCACAAAAGATATTGCACAACCCCTTTATCAACACCAGACCTCCTCAATTGTACAAAAGTTTCAAGAGGGAGGACTCCTTTAAGTCCACTTTGAATCAGTGCTCATTCCTTCTCCAACAGAGGTCCAGATATCCTCTGGGATATCTCAACCACTGTTGGAGGAGGAATGAGCACTGATTCAAAGTGGACTTAAAGGAGTCCTCCCTCTTGAAACTTTTGTACAATTGAGGAGGACTGGTGTTAATAAAGGTGTTGTGCAATATCTTTTGTGATATATAAAAAGACGGTACTTAGATGTTTGGATATATGATTCTATGTGATAATGTTTATATGATAATTAATATAATGGTAAATAAATTATAAGAAATATAGAAAAATATATAAAAATTACTTGAGATACTTTGTAATCGTCTGTAGCACGGTATTTGTTGATTTTTGGTATTTTCTACTTACCGTGGGTCTTATTTTGGTTTTGTAAAAGGAATGGGCCATATGTCCCAGTGCTCTCATTTGGCGACTGTCAATGACCTCTTATACATAGTATTTCTTTTGTGATTACTGTGATCCTAAGTAATTTATTCAGTACAGAGCTGGCCAATGACTGGGTGTTGCAGTTGGCTTGTCACTTCTACCAGATTTTCATAATTGCTGAGAGATAGCATAACAAATCCTCTTCTAAACTTCAGCTCAGGGTACAAGGGTAGAGGGCATGTCAATATCTATGTCCAGTCATAATGAGAGCAGAAAATCCAAATTGGATTAAAAACCTGATCAAGGAGGTGAATAGTGCATGTTCCACATGCTATGAATAATTTTCATGATCTAGACTTGTATGTAATATTAATACATAATGCTTTCAAGTGGGTTTCATCAAGGATTTTCATTAGAAATGTGCCAGAACTGCATACATTCCACAGAACAAATTTAGCTTCTTTTCCCCATGGTAGAACTAACATAATCACATGTTCCTGCAATTCACGTTTGCAGAAGCAGTAACTAGAAAATCATTGCTCGGCTACTACAGTTGCTTATGAATTGCAAGAGTTCTTCAATAGATCTTTCATACAGAATACAATATTCCCAACTGGAGAACCATAAAAAATATAAGAGCTTTTGTTGATTAAATGAAAGATCTATTTAGTCCAATATTCCATTTCTTAAGGTGTTTAACTAGATGCCTCAAGGAACCACGTAATCAGGAACTGAAAGCTTCTGTCTTCTTCTGTTTCTCCTCCCAGTGTCAACAACTAGAACACAGAGATGCACTGCTAATTGCCACTGACTGATGGTTTTGCATGTATTTGTACAGTTCACTTTTAAAAGCATCTAACCTAGTGACTATAATTAGATTTTGTGGCAGTGAATTCCATAAGATGAGTGTTATATACCATTTTTGTCCTATCATAATCTAGTACTAGCCAATTTAACGGAAAGGAGAAAGTGGTGGCCTGGATCCAAATCTTGAGTTTTCTTAAGAGAGGGAGGCAATTTTGCTTATTCCCTCTCCCACTGCAACCCCTCCACGTTATTTCTAAAGGTCCAGTAACTCCGCAAAACAAAATATCAGGGGTCTAAGTTGGCTGAAGTGGGAGGGAGGAATCAGTGAAATTTGCCACAACCACCCCTTAAGAAATGTTAAGGGTACTGTCGTTTATTTTATGTGTAAAAGTGTTAAAATGTTTTTATGTATTTTATTATTATTTGCTTCATTAATTCCCTGCCTTTCTCCCAGTGTGGTCTCAAAGCAGCTTACATTGTTCTCCATTTTACCCTAACAACAACCCTGAGAGAGTGTGACTGGCCCAGGGTTACCTAGCAAGCTTCTACAGCAGATCATATTCCAATACATATTCCACTATACCATGCTGGTTCTAATTGCTTTTAGACATCCTAGCCTACTGTGCTTTCCTGCACTGGAAGTGGACAGTGTCATAAGTTGCAACTGACTTATCACCTGTAGGGTATTCAAAGGAAGAGATGAACAGAGGTGGTTTGCCATTGCCGGGTCATGACGCTGAACTTCCATTGAGGTCTCCCATCCAAGTACTAACCAGGGCTGATCCCACTTGGCTTCCCAGAGCTGACAAGACTGGGCTAGCCTGGGCCATCCAGATCAGAGCAGTTCAGGTCCCTACTGCTGCCCTAATTTATACTATCTGCCAAAAATCCAGATGGATGCACCAATCCCAACAAAGTCCCAAGCATTAGTTTCCATGTACTGCATCCCTGACTACCCTCCTCACTACTTACCTAAAAGGAAGATGCAAGCAAAAGTGATAAGGGTGGCCATAGATTAATCTTACACTGTGCTAAAGTGTTGTGGTCAGTTAAAAGTGATTGAAGTTGGCTTGTATTCTGACATCAAAGAGGAAGCTTTATTTTATTCAATTACCTTACCTGTGTATGTGCTGTACATGCGTATCGTCGATAGTATCCGTAATCACAAGAAGTATCTTCAAGACAAAAACTTGCTTTGTGTCCTTCAGCTACTCTCCTATGTGAGCTTGCTTCAAGCAAGTCATAATGGCTGAACTCATCCATACTGTGGTAATGCCTGTCAAACCACAAGCAACTTAGTAGACAGAACTGCTCCCCCGACACCATGTTAAAACCAACAACCATAGTTGCTTGCTGGGCCACAATTATCTTGAAAGTACATCTTTATGAACTGTTTAAAACTTAATTAAAAATGGGTTAATATATTGTGCTCCAATGATTACATTATCTACAGATTGCATTCTCTACATTCAGACACTATATAAAAATAAACTTTAAACAAATTAAAGATATGCACCAGCTTTTTACCCAAAGAGAAAGCGATGCACCAGTTATATTAAGAGTAGGAAGCACCAAAGTGCCTATATGTATGAGCAGTACAACCCCCAGTTGTTACCTCTGGGCACTGTTCATCTCACAGAAAATGCTTACATAGCATACTGTAAATTCCGAAGACATTCTATATCTGAAGGGTGTTTTTAATCAATAGGCCCAATTATTATACTAATTTACTTGAACATTTTCTTTAAGCCCCATTTTGTTACCTTATAATGATACTCTATTTTTTCTAATTGTTTTGTTCTAATTGCTATATTATACATCAGGGAGTGGCTCAGTGGTAGAGTATCTGCTTGGCATGCAGAAGGTCCCAGGTTCAATGCCCAGCATCTCCAGCTGAAGGATCAGGCAGTAGGTGATGTGAGACATCTGCCTGAGACCCAGGAGAGCTGCTGCCAGTCAAAGTAGACATCACTGACCATGATGGACCAAGTGCAAGGCAGCTTCACGTGTACATATTTAAATTGCTAGGTAACATTCTAAATGTCTTTGTTCACATTTGTTGCTGCACTGTTTTTTTTTTAATGGCAAGTTAATCAATTGTATCTTCAGCCAATCAGCTATCTTCTCTCTCTAACATTCTACTGTTGTTATTTATGGCATATACAATATAAGATGGAATCAATCAGTTCTTTAGCACAACTGTTTCCCCTTGTGATCTAAAGCATGAAAGGATATATTTTTCTAAGTGTGTGGTCTAAATAGATGAGGACCAAAAGCTTGTTTCTGTTGTGTGGTGGTGGTTACATCATAAAAACCATCACCAGTTTAAATTGCATCTTTGTATTCTGTTCAGATATCTTGACTTGGAAAAACTGCAAGAAACTTCAATTCAGTACAAGAGGTTTGGACCACTTTCAAGATTGGTATCAACATTATGTTCCAAAAAGTGATGTCAGTCACCTAAATTCCTCCGTAATTATTGAATAATTATATTTCTTATGCCCAGTTGTGTCAAAATTATTTTAAATCCCATTTATGTTGTATCTGAAATGGCTCCTAGAGACTCATTTTCTTAGGAAAATGTCATAAGCTCATGTTTCATGGAAAGGGTTCCAACCTTTATAGCTTCTTTCCACACAGTAGAAAAGAGAAAAACCACATCACAATAAATAAGAAGAGAACATAATTTTAAAGTACCATACTGAACACTCCACTCACTGATGACAGCTGTGCCACTCCCAAGAGTATCGTGGTCGGCTTGGTAAGAAATCTGATGTGCCTTGATTTTTCACTCTCTGAGGGAATCTCAGAAGCACTCTGTTATCATAGTCTCTGACATCTGATCTATAAGCTGAGCTGCAAAGATTAAAAAAATGCATGCATTAAATAGATTTGAAATTGCAGTCTTTGACCCTTATGACTCAGCAATGTTTCTTGCTAACTGCTTATTATCCAGAATGCCAACAGCTGAAGTTACTTAACAACTTGCAGTGAAACACCTATATGCTTTTCTGAGTTGGTTTCAAGTTATTTAAAAACCAGGTTGACATCACGTAATGTTTTCCTGATGGCTTGTTATCCTAGCTACTCTGAGTAGTTCTGCTTACAGACTGGGACTTTCCCATCCCCTCCTTCCTGCTGTCACCTCTTGCGCACACACCCCAAACTCGGGGTCAAGGGACCCTAACCAACTACATAAGATGTTCCAGAGAGGGCAGCTGCTGGAAGGAACTGATCAGGGAAACAGGCACCCATTTACAGCTAGAAGTGTCTTTTACTTATGCAAGGGTACCTTTTGAACCCAAAGCAATAACCTCTGTAGGATTTGAGCCTCATTAGACTGTGCCCGATGCCTGCATTTAGCAAAAATATTTAACCAAACAGCACAAGTAATTTCAAATATGTGCTAATATTCATAATTACACTGATGAATATATAGAAAATAGGCCTACTACTTAAAATAATAAAAAGTACTTCCCAGGCCTGCATTTTATTTATTGAGCAGTTATTTAGCCCCTGAAAACTTTCCTTGGTTATAGATGCCATGAAATTTAGCAAGGCCTAAATTTCTTATTTTTCAATATGCCTACCAATTCACACCACCTACGCTTGTCTGCTGCTGACACCCACTCCCTGTATTTCCTTCCACTCCTGCTAATTTCAGCAGAATTTACAGTCCATTCCCTCACTTCTCTCCTGTTTTAAAAATATCATTGAAAAATCTTATGGAATGTTGTGCCATTTCTCTGTGTGTGTGTGTGTGTGTGTGTGTGTGTGTGTGTGTGTGTTTTAAGTGTCGTCAAGATGCTTCCAACTTAAGGCAACCCAATGAATTAATAACCTCCAGAACATCCAATCGTTAACAGCCTGCCTCATGTCTTGCAAACTGAGGGTCATGGCTTCCTTGATTGAATCCATCAATCCCATGTTATGTCTTCCTCTGTGGAGGGGAGGGGAAGGGATGGGAGTTTGTAAGCAGCTCTGAGACTCTGAGTGAAGGGCGGGGTATAAATCCAATCTCCTCTTCTTCTTTTGTCACCTTCCACGTGACATTATTGTCTTTTCCAGTGAGTTTTGTCTTCTATAATGTGACTAAAGTATGATACTGTAGTTTAAGTCATTTCAGCTTCTAGGACGAGCTCAAGCTTGATTTCATCTGGAACCAGCTTATTTGTCTTTTTTTTAATTAATTTTTTTTTAAAGTTATTATTTGTCTTTTTGCAGTCTATGAGAATGAACTTGTTTGTCTTTTTGGCAGTCCACAGTATCCATAAAGCTCTCCAACAACACCACATTTCAAAGGAATCAACCTTTATTCCTGTCAGCCTTCTTCACTGTCCCACCTTTACTATGCTATGAATTCTCTTGGTTGCCAGTGACACATCCTTACACTTAAGAATCTTTTCTAGTCTTTTCATGTCTGCCCTTCCCAGTCTCAATCTCTTTGTGATTTCATGGTTGCAGTCTCCCTTTTTGTTGAAGATTCTGAACAATTTAATTTTTTTCATCGCCAGCCTTAAATTTGTGTAATTTCTCAGAAGTCATTACTTTTGTCTTCTTGATGTTCAGCTGTAATCCTGCTTTGACATTTTCTGCTTTAACCTTCATTAGTAGTCATTTCAGGTCTTCACTATTTTCTGCCAGTAATGTGGTGTTATCTGCATATCTCAAACTATTAAAAGTTTGCTTCCACTACTTTTCACCCCATCTTCATCTAAATCTAATCCATCTTTCCTTATGATGTGTTCTGCATATAATTGAAGAGACAGGGAGATAAAATACATCCTTTTCTGACATCTTTACCAACTGGAAACCATTCTGTTTCTCCATACTCTGTCCTAACAGTAGCTTCTTGTCCAGCATACAGGTTGTGAATCAAAACAGCCAGATGTTGTGGTACATCCATTTCTTTTAAAACCAAACATAACTTTTTATGATCCATACAGTCATAAGCTTCACTGTGATCAATTAAAAAGTGGATTTTCTTCTGAAATTATTTCATCTGCTCCAGTAACCAACATAAATATGATCTCTAGTGCTTCTTCCTTTTCTGAATCGGGCTTCAATATCTGGCATTTATCTTTCAATATATGGTAACAGTCTTTGTTGTAAGATTTTGATGGTCCAACAGCTGCTACAATCTTTGACATCTCCTTTTTTCAGAACTGGAATGTAGATTGAGAATTTCCAGTCTGCAGGCCATTGTTTTATTTTCCATAATTGTTGGCATATTCTTGTTAAAATTTTGATAGACTCCATTTCTGGGGCTAGAAACAGCTCTATTGATATCCCACCTACTCCAGGTGCTTTGTTTCTCTCAATTGCTTTTATTTATTTTATTTATCCCTTTTATTTCTTGTGAAACAGATCTCTTGTTCTTCCTTTTTTCTATTCTCTTCTACTTCTTTAAACTGGTTATTATAGTAGTTTTCTTTATTTCTACGTGCAAGTTGCTGAAATGCTATATTTAGAGTTCTATTTCTGTTACTTTACTACCTTTACTGATTTTAAAAGTTTCATCAGTCATCCACCAAGGCTTTTCATTTCTTTCGGCTACAGAAATAGTCTTTGCACATTCTTCCTTGATAATATCTCTGGTTTCAACCCACAGTTCTTCTGGTTCATGTTCACTTTAACTTAGTAATGCAAATCTGTTATTTACATGGTCCTTACATTTTCCAGGAATATTGTTTAGATTGCATTTTGGCACTATGAATGTTCTGGTGTTTTTCTTCAGATTTATTCTAATTTTTGATATCTACTATTGATGGTCAGTATCACAATCAACTACCAGACTTGTTTAAGCAGAGAGAATAGAGCTTCTCCATCTTCTCCTTCTAATCTATTTGAGTTCTGTTTTGGCCATCTGGTGATGTTCATATATACAATCATCTATTCAGTTGCCAGAAATGTGTTTGCAATGAAAAAATTGTTGTCTTCACAGAATTCTATGAGTCACTTCCCTGCTTCACTTCATGATCCTAGCCCAAATCTTCCAACAACCTTTGATTCTGCTTTGTTTCCTACTTTTATGTTCCATGCACCTATGATTATCACAACCCCCCAGCCATGATTTTTTTGGGGATAATTAGATTATATATGAAATTAAAATTAAATTACCTTTAAATTAATGGAGGGGGGATGGAGGGGGGAAAGAAGAGGAGTGACCCAGGCCCAGGTTGCCATTGGTGGTCAGTCCCACCTATTCGCCCTGCGGGGAGCTACCCTCAAGCCACCCTCATCTGCCTTCCTCTCTCCCTCCATGCCCGAAAGCGTGCAACACACCAGCTAGCAGTGGCAATGGAGGAAAGCTGGGTCCCCCTGCCCCTCGCACGGCTAATGTGGGAAGGGTCTGGGGGGCCTGGCCATCCACAGCACCTCTCTTGCCTTGGCACCCTTTCACAGATGGGTCCCCAGCCAGTGCGCTTCCTTCCCCAAAGGGCTTGACCCCCTCCAGGCAAGCAGGTGGCGGCTGGACCAACCAACCTGGGCTGCCCTCACAATAGGGAGCACTGCCCCCAGAACCTCACCACTGGTTACGAGACTGCCTTATCAACACATCTTGTTTAGGTATGTGATCAATTTCTTCCTGAAGAATTGCATAACATTTTTCAAGTTCTTTTTCATAAGCATCTGTAGTTGGGGCATAAACTTGAATGATGGTTATTTTGATAGGCTCCACATCAAGTCTGATGAATATTTTTTGGTCAAACTTTGCATTATAGCCCCTGATTGCTTATGATATGTCTTGCCTCACTATTAGAGCAACTCCATTTCTTCTATGTTCATCATTTCCACTCCACTTTAGTTCACTCACTCCCAGGGTTACAATGTTTAATCATTCAATATCTCATTTTATGATTTCGAGCTTACCTTAATACATACTTCTCACATTCTGTGTTACTTACATTTTAACTTCAGTATTGCAGAATACCTTTGTCTGTTGCATGCAAGTCCTCTAAGAATATTTTTAGTGTGCTGTCTGTTCTAATAGATTTGCTAGAGTTATTAAAGATAATATCATAACAAAATCTAGGCTGGTACTGCTATGAAACTCCTTTTTAAAGCCAGCTTTGCATACCTTAACTTGACAAAAAACCATTTTGAATTCAACTCCAAGCAAGATGAGAAGATCCTTATTCAATTATCCTATTAGATAAGCTGGATACAGATTTCCAACAGATTAAAATAGATCAAACTAACTCCAAAGAGCATCATCAAACCTGGGACATGCCTTCAAGCTTCATTTTTTAGCTTCTAGATCAAACCAAGCCTAAATTCTCCCTAGGAGTTAAAATGGCTAAACTGAGGCTATTGTACTTTGGTCACATTAGGAGAAGACAAGACGAACTGGAAAGAAGGTGAAGGCAGCAGGAAAAGAGGAACATGTGATACATGGACTCAATCAAGGAAGCCACAGCCTTCAGTTTTGAAGACCTGAGCAAGGCTGTTAATGATAGGACATTTTGGAGGATGTTAATTCATCATGTTGCCATCAGCAACTTGACAGCACATAACACACACCCAGACTGAGAACATTGTCATAAGAGATGCCACAAACTCTCTTTGGGTTGCTCTTACTCATATGATGTTGGAATATTGTAAATACCGAGAACAACATATAAAATAGATCAACTGTGTTGAAAATGCTGTAGGTGTTCCATTTGCATTTGTGACAGATTTTAACTCAAAACGATTTAAGCCTTGTGTATTAGCAGACCCCTAGCTTGATGCAATGGATATATGCTCCTAAATTAGTCCACAGAATTCAGAGCTATGGCACAAAGTCAGGGTACACAGCTGATTTACCTAATGAATAGCATTGACTGTCACTAGTAGATTGGTAGTCAATCAACCAAGGAGCTAAACACCAATGATGGAAAAACAGTGAACTGGAAATTACAACAATAGAATAAAAATAGCAAGTATTTTAAAAAGAAACAAATATTTTACAGTTCCAAGTTAGATTGCACAGCAGACTTGCTTTAAAAGAATTAACAAATGTTGGATTAATGAAAAACAGGCCTTGTATAGGCAAAAATTCCCAACCAATAAGCGCATGCTAGCTGTGTTGTTTGGCCGTTTAGCTCACAGCAACAGATAATAAAAACAATGTGGTTTGTGAAGGCCGGAAGCAATGTAATTCTTCACTGCTTTAAGCAGTTGAAATTGAACTCCCCAGTCACAGCAACATTTGGAACCCTTTGCAAGTCCGCCTTTATCTGTGCTGTATAGATAATGATACCTTGCCTGCACACGCTACTAGCTTCCTTATTCTCAGGCACTAGACCTTCCCATTCGCTTCAATAAGGAATCTGTTGTTGGTGTCAATAGAGAGGCAGCAAGCCTCTTACCTTGCCAGACAATTCTCTTCAGCAGCACACCTTAGGTTGTACATGGATGTCCTCTGGACATAAGTAGATGCTTGGATGTAATAAGGATCCGGTACTAAGTCAGGAAGACCTGCAGTTCATCAAACCAATCACAGAATAGCAGCAGCATCAAGCCCAGCACACTGTATTTTTCCTTAGCTGAAAAGAGTCATGATGACTCAAGTTTGGCTTTCTAAGACCCCCACACAGTACTAGAAAATTAAGTCGCCAGTCTCTTTTCTCGAGATCAAAATAAGTATGAAAAGACAGTGTGTCTTGCAGATCAGCAGATGACTGCATAGCATCCTATTTTGCTAACCCTCTGTTATAAATCTTAAAGGCACTCTCCCATAAGGACGCCAGCTGAAGAGATCTTCAGTTTGCCAGGTCAAAATAGCAGGAATCTATTAGATACAGAGGATCTTTGCTCTTTTTATGGAACTGGAAAAAGTTTCATTGCCAAAGTTTCATTGCCGTTAGGCAAACTGTGATATTTGGATTAAGTCCTTTAGAAGAAAAGATTAACCTTAAAATTAGGAACATCCGTCAACCTAACTAGGAGTCCCAATGCAAGGAAGTTCTTGTATCACTAGTTTTCTTTGTATTGGGAGTGGGGGAGACCATAGTTCACCTTTCTCCAAATCACTTGCACCCAGAATCCATGTGAAGCAGTGAAGGATCTCTGAGCATATAGAGAGAGTCTTTTTGCTGCTGACTAATTGCGGCTGTGCTTAAGAATTAGCAGTTCCAAAACCTCCAACTTCTCACAGCCTGTGCACCACCACCTCTACATTGGGGGGGAGGGGGGAATGAATGATTACAGAGCTGACAGTGGAGAAAAATGTTGCATTCAAACAGGCCTGTAGCTACAGTGGGTAGGGTTGCCAAATCCTGAAACCTTACCGATGGGGGAGGCTCCGTCCTGGTCGGGAGCCGGCTGTGTGTGTGTGCACGCACGCGCCGCCGCGACGTCACCGGAAGTGACGTCAGACGTTGCTGACGTGGGGGGCGTGGCCGAGCTTGTCGGGGGAAACATATGGTCCCCCCCCCGACGAGCTCAGCCAAGCGGGGGATTCCCCGCCCCCCGGGGTCATTTGGCAACCCTAACAGTGGGGCCTCTTAGGGTCTGGCCCCCCGACTTACCACCAAGGACCGACTTCACATCCAGCCCAGGCCACCCAACTTTCAATTTTTTATTTTATTTATGGTGCTTGCTTGGAGTGTGTGAAATTGCCCCCCCAACTTATTTAAAGCCCCCTTGAATTAAAAAAAATCCTGACTACAGCCTGCGTTGAAAATGTTTTTCTCTTCACCACCATGTATTAAATTGTCATGATTATGAAAAGCGATTTTTAAAGAACTTTATTTTTTACTGAATTTCTTTTCTACAGAAACCAGACTACTTCAAATTAACAACGCAGATAATTATTTTTCACCAACTATCCTACCTGTACGTGCAAGGAAATTCGTATTGTCCCCGTTGCAAGCAAAGGGGAGGGGATGTAGGATCAGATGCTAACTAGTGGCTGAGGAATTCTTGGGGTACCAACTAGCCACTATTAAAGAGCGGTACCGGGAGGGATGCCCCGTCGCACGCGCATCCCCCCCCGGTGGGTTGAGGGCGATTGTTCTTGATCTAACGCATGCAGCTCCAGCGGCTGAAATCGGAATTTGCGTTACTGGCTTCATTCGCCCGATATCTGCCAGAGTGCTCTTACCGTACTGGAAATAGCCGGTACCGTAGCCCGGCCGCTGGGGGCCGTTCTGTCGGGGCCGTTCATAGGTGTCATAGTAGTTGTAATAGGGGTTGTCGTCCGTGTACTTGTAGGGGTTGTAAGGGTCGTCGCCCACCATGCCATCTTCCCGGCGCGGAGGCCGGAGGCTGCTCAGCGGGGGCGAGCTGCTCCCATTGCCCGCCCTGGAGGGGGAGCTCTCGAGACGACGCGCCTGGGGCTCCCTTTGAGAGCTTCCGCTGGGTTGAGTCCTGTGGCCCCTGCCGCCGCCGCCATTAGTGCCCGCCGAGGGCTGGTAGCCCGCCTGAAACCAGTGCCGCGGCTCCGGCCTCCTGGTCGTACTGGCGGTGGCGCCTTCGCCGGCGGGCGCCGCTTGGGCTCGGCGCGGAGTGGTGCCGTTGCCCCTGAGGAGCAACACGTGTCCGCCTTGCGCGGGGCCCTGGCTGTGCCTGCGCCGCGGCGGTTGGTACTGGGAGCCCAGGCTGAGGAGGCTGTACACCTGCCCGTTGTTCTCCCACTGAATCCTTTGCCTCCACGCGGCGGGAGGGGGTGGTGGTGGTGCGTTTCTCTGCGGCTGCCCGCCGGCCGGCAACCACAACAGGCAGCTCCAGTAGAGGCATGCTTGCAGCTGGGCGAGCCCCAGAAGAACCGGCGGCGAGGAGAAGAGATGCATCGCAACCAAGTGGGTAGGTCCCCTTTGGGCTAGGTGCGTGGATGGAGAAGTCAGCAGTGCCTCGGCGTTTCCCCCTCTCCTACACTCACGAGCAAGCGACTTTTCTTGCGACTAGCACACGAAAAGATAGTGGGCACTCTTCCCCTCTCTTCTTCCTCCTCCCAGTATCGTGCTTTGTAAAGTTTGCAAAGGAGGCGCAGCAGCCAGCAATCGCTCTCTCCCTCTTGCTTTTGCTGGTGTCTGGAGTGAAGCGGCAGGCGGGAGAGAGGGAGGGGGGAGGAGATGAGGGATTTTTAAACTTTCTGGCACATTTGCAAAGTTACACAAGCCCATTTTGGCAGGCGGCTCCTTTGCTATTTGTTCACGTAATGCGATTTGAAACGTGCGGGCCCGACGGTCCCCTCAGATCTGCCCCCTTCCCTTTCCATCTTCCCCCTGACAGCCTCTTCTACCTGATCCTGAGCTTCCAGACAAACAAGCGAGACAAGCCAGCTACATACACATTTGGCTGGGCAGAGGCTGTAAAATGTGTAAGCATCTTACAGTCTAGGGTTAACATGCAGGCATTTCACTTCCCTCAGACTACTCAGGCTGCCAGGTGGTGGGGCATTGCCAAAATATGCACACACAAAAATGCTATTAGATCATCAGCACAACTAGAGAGGAGAAAGCAGAGTAAGGGAGAGAGGAAACATGTTTTCTGGGAAATATTTTCACCATAGACTTCTCTCACAGTTTGGTCTTTGGCAGGGGTAGCTCGTTGTGGCAGGATGAAGCAACAGCTCTATGCTTGCCTGTGATGCCCTTTTCATTATGGCCCAAATCCTCCTCAAATAAACTCATGCATACCAAGTTTTGTTATTCTCTGTATGAGTCACACAAGGACTTCGTGACAGACGTGTCTCCTGCAGAAGAGGTTCACTTTAAAGTGATTTTCCCATGATGGGATAGATTGTCCATCATGTAAAATAAAGGGAGTGGAACGGTCAAAGACCTAAGACCATCACTCACTTTTCTCCAATCAAAGTGTTACCAGCATTCCATTAAAATGAATCATTAACCTGTTTCTCTCCTGAGAGGGCATTTTAAAAATCAGACACTCGGTGCATTTTTAAAGAGTCTGTTACAGACTGAAAAATATTTGCTAATGAATCATTTCAAAAGAATGATCAGGAGAAGAACAGTCTTTTCATCTCAATATAAACACATTTATTTGGAAGACAGGGCCTTCCGTTTTAATAGAATTTGACCTCAGGCCTATATTTAGGATTATAAATCTAGACCACTTTATTACAACTTGCACACACATTAGATTACTGGAGTATTTAGCTTGGTAAAATTGAGTCTTATCTCAGAACAAGAAGAGTAGGTTTTTAATACCCCACTTTTCTCTACTTTAAGGAGTCTCAAAGTGGCTTACAACAGGCACCTCATGAGGTACACGGGGGCTGAGAGAGTTCTGAGAGAACTGTGAGTGGCCCAAGGTCACGCAGCAGGCTTCCTGAGGGGCAACTGAGAATCACTTATCTCTTGATAAATTCTCACCTGTAGTAATTTGTCTTTAGCTCCTGCTTCAGGATAAAAAGCTGTGCCTCATACACAGTAACACAATTCCTTGCCTGGTTTTGCATTAATTGTAGCTAGCATGGTGTACTTTTGCATCCACAATTTCAAATGCACATTAGAATCACTTAATTCCTTTAGCAGCCATTGGATTGGTGGGAAAATACAGTCATGTTCTTTTGCCATTTTATTTTGATAATGCAAAGATTAGTAATATGTTAGTGGATAACTAATATTCATTAGGTGATCTTGAATGCATGCCCCTGAAAGGTAATAACAGCAATTATTACTTTGTACAGCACCCAAAAACCTTTCCCCATATGTTCCCCTGCGGCACTATGGTCGGGGACGCAACATCTCCTGATGATTCCAGGCCCCAAGGAGGCCAGGCTGGCTGCTACCAGGGCCAGAGCTTTTTCGGTGGTGGCTCCTACCTGGTGGAATGGTCTCCCGGAGGAGATCCGGGCCCTGCGGGACCTTGTGCAGTTCTGCAGAGCCTGCAAGACGGAGCTCTTCCGCCAGGCGTTTGAGTAGGAGCTGCCACTACCATACCATCACTATTTTACCATCATTACCAACTGGCCCTGGGAAGAGAGAATGACAATGTCACGTGGAACTGAAAGCACTGATTGGGTGTACCATCTTTGAGACGTCATCTTTTATGGAAGATTATTCTGGAACATCTAGAGCACTTAATATGTTGTAACATTGTAGTGATGGTTTTATATGGTTTTAACCTGTTTTTATGTGTTGGCTTACGCCTATCTGTGAGGCGCCCTGAGCCCGTGTTGTGGGGAGGGCAGGCTATAAATTGCAATTATATATATATATATAATAAGTAAATCAATTGTCATGTCTAAAGCTCACAAAGCAGAATTTGTGTTTCAGCAGTTCTAAATCTTTCAAAAATCATGCCTGATGTATTGAAATCCATCATGCTATTTGTGGAATTCCTCTGGAATGAGTAAATGACCCAGACAGTTGATGTGATCATTCCTAGGCACCCTCTCTCAAGTGTTTACAGTAAACTTGGTTTACTGAGCAGCTGCAGGCAACAGTGAAGCAAGGCTCAGGATGAACCCAATATGGCATAGGCTAAAGCATACTCTGTGGAGGTGATGACGACAAAGAAATAACACTTGTCCATTGTCATTGCATCTGCACAGTGTAGGCCAGTATATCTGTTCCGGATGTTCAGTGGCCTATTGGGATCTATCCTGTAGGGAGAAATGACGATGAAGAAGAAGAGATTGGATTTATAGCCCACCCTTCACTCGGAGTCTCAGAGTGGCTTACAAACTCCTTTCCCTTCCCCTCCCCACAACAGGCACCCTCTGAGATAGGTGGGGCTGAGAGAGCTCTTTCAAGAACTGCTCTTTCAATAACAGCTCTGACAGAACTATGGCTTGTCCAAGGTCATCCAGCAGCTGCAAGTGGAGGAGGGGGGAATCAAACCCGGTTCTCCCAGATTACAGTCTGCGCACTTAACCACTACACCAAACTGTCTGGTGATCCGCTGTGACCATTTTGCTTAGCACTTTGCAGATAAAATTGCTTACGTTCATATTGACTTGGACTGTACATTGGCAGTGACTACTCTGATGGTGCTGGGGGTTGATGTCCAGTTTGGGATAACTTTGCGTTTATTCAATTTGAGGATATGGACAGGATTCTTGGAAGTCTAAGACCTACTACCAGCTTGTACGATTTTTGCCCTTCTTGGCTACTTAAATCTGCTGGGGGCGAGGCTGTCTAATTGGGTTCGAGAGGTAGTTAATGCCACCTTGAGATCAGGGGTGATTGTCCCAGCCTTGAAACAGGCTGTGTTGAATCTACTAACAAAGAAGCCTGCTCTGGATGCAGGAGATTTCTGTAACTATAGATGACTCTCAAATGTTCCATTACTGAGCA